TATAATATATAATATATAATATATAATATATAATATATAATATATAATATATAATATATAATATATAATATATAATATATAATATATAATATATATTATAATATATTATATGTTATATGTTATATATTATATTATTTTTATATATTCCAGCAGCTCCCCAATACTGCATTGCATAGAGGAAAGCTGGTGGTTGCAATGCACCCAGAGATGCTGCCTCATCTCAAACCCAGAAAAATCCCTCTGGGGCTGCAGCATCACCTTCTCAAAATGGCATGCACAGAGCAGAGGTGTTTCAGGAGCTCCCATGCCTCGACAGAGCAGGGGGGCAGTGGGAGGTCAGGACTGTGGAGCAGGAAGTGATTCCCCYAAACTCAGCCTGGTTTGAAAGCCTAGCAAGCACTAACACTAACAAACAGTCAGTGTGTTTATATCCCACCTTCCTGCTGGAGAGCAGGGGTTATTTTTGGCATATTTTGTCATTGTTGGAGATGTCAGTGAAGGCCAGGAACAGTGCAGAGCTGTTGGGAAAGCCCAGAGGCAAGTGCCCTAGGCACAGGATGATGAGATGAGGGGTGTGGGAAGCTGCTCCAAGCCATTTACACATTGGGTTTTGCCTGCAAGATGCGGAGCACAGCCCTGGCTTCAATAGACCTGGGGACTAAAAMCATCATGGACCATCCTATTCCATCCCTATTGCAGCCCCACACTGTTCCCATTCCCCCCATGCAGCAAGGGAGCAGGAGCATCATCCTGAGCCCTCACTCACTACGTGTTTCACTCATTGCCACCTTTCCTGCCTGTGCCCAGCTGTGGCCATGCCCTGGACACCAACAGTGCTGCTCTGGCATCAGCAGGCACCTCTTCCAGCTGCTGCCTTTCATCAGGCTTACTGTTCATGCTGGCTCAAAACAGAAAGGAAGAGGAGAGCACAAAGAGCAGCGCTCCTTGCCCATCSTGCTGTAGGGCCTGGCCACGTTCCTTCAGCTCACTGCTGGTTTTAAGATCAGTTCAACCACACACCTCCCCCATTTTCTCCTAGCAAATGACCTCCTTACCAACAGTTTTGGATCTGCTTTGTCCTTCCTGTGAGCACCAGACATCCTCTGCAGCCAGGACTGCTTTTCCTAACAAAACCAGCAAGATCAGCAGGGAGAGCACACGAGTTCCTGCGAGCGCTTGCAGGCTGATGGCTTTGGCAGATTGCTGGGTCTCCTCTCCCAGACATGTAACTAAAATAGGAAGCATGAGTAGCTGGAAAGTCCAGGTTTGATTTGGGCAGAAGTTTAGACTGGTATCAGCCAAGAGCAAAACAGGTAAAATGAGGATTTTGGCAGGTCAGACCTCAGACCAAGTGTGACAACCCTGACTGCCCCATTGCAGCAGGGAACGTGGCTGGAAACACCATCCTTTCACTTGGCTTGTCCACAAAACACAAGATTTAAGCCCAGAAAGCAGGTGGAGAGGTGAAGAGAAATCTTTCTCAATGCCAGCTCCAGATGTGGGGTCTCCCAYCTCCCCCAGCCTTTGCTGCTGCTAATTCCCCATGCATCACCCAAGGATTTGGCCACCCCACACTCCTTGTCTAGCACAAGCAGTTTGGAAGGCTGCATTCTACCTGAGAACTGATCAAGTCCCACAGTTATGCTGCAGCTGGGAGGAGAAAGTGCCATGGAGTCTACTTGGCATCAAGAGCCTGAACTGAGCCCTACCCTTGCACACTCATTCAGACCCAGCACTTCCTCTGTGCTTTTTTGTTGTAACCCCAACCAAACAGATGACATTAAGACCATCCCAATTAATTTGCCCTGCATGTGAAAGCGTTGAGGACTTCTCCCCCAGCTCAGGAGCCCYGTGGCCTCACCCAACCCAGCACTGGCTTCCAGTCTCACAGGCGTGTTCACCTCCTCCTCCCCAGCGCTGAGCAGATAACAGGGCAATTGCCATAATGAGTCTCTGTCTGTCCAGCCCTGCTCAAAGCAATTAAYGAAGCCAGGCACTAATGAACTTGGCTTCAGAGCGTCCCAGAGATGGGCCATTGCCATCTGAAGGGGAGGCAAACCAAGAGCAGGTGGAGTGGCTGACCCTGGTCATGAGTACCTCGGGATGGATGCAGGACAGAGCTCCCTGCCTGCAGCAGGGAAAGGATGGCAGGGTGACACCAGGGTGACCACAGCTCTCTAATGTGCTGTCTGTGGCTGGAGAGACTGGTTTGTCCACGTTTGGGAGGGCAGGAGGGACTCCCCACCCATCCCAGTGCTATCTCATCCTTGAGTGGCTCTGGGGAAGCTGTGTCTCTGCAGCCAGAGCTCCCAACACTGCAGAACTCCCCTGCATCCTGCCCCTCAAGTTTTGCAAGACACGAAATGTGGACATTGAGGCACAATGYGCTGGGTCCCCCTGCAAAAAAACTTCCTCAGTTTGTGACTCACCATCCCATCCTCCCTGGTGTCACTCGTGACTCTGTTTCACTCTGCTACTGAGCATTTCACCATCTCTTATCAATGAGGAAGRCAGAGCAGCCCGACCCGGCTGCAGACACGTGCCCAACATTTCTCCCTGCAGCATTTTGGAACCAACCTCGCTGCTGTTGTCAACTGAACATCCTCTTGCAAACAACAGGTTCCCCTGCAATGCTGAGGGGGTCACAGTGGGTCTCTCCAGGTCTGCCTGCAAGGGTAAACACAGCTGATAAATCACAGGGATGTGGCCTCTGCACCTCATGCTCTCACAGCACACACGTCCTCACATGCACGTTGATGGCATACTAAAAATATTCTTCACTTTTTGACCGATTAAAATTTTCCAGGAGAGTTGGAACCACAGCCCCCACCCTATTTGGACAGCCAGAGGCTTCCCCTCACCTCCCCCAGCCCTGCCAGGAAAACAGAGAATACTGAACAACAGTTCCGGTAATTTGGGGGTTTTTTTGGTTGTTTTAAAAGCCTGACTAAAATACAATCTTTTTTCAATAGTTTATTTTGTGATGTCTGGCACCATCCTAGAGCCAAACTTGGCATTGTGACATCCTGTCTTGCACTCACACTCCCACTGAGAAGGCTGTGGGTGAGCTGGGATAATCCCACTTCCCACCCMAAATCCCATTTTGATGGCTCAGGAWATTAAACAAAGAAAAYACATTTTTAAACCAGTTCCCACCTTGTGTTAGGCAGCAGAGAGCTAACCCTGGTTTGGTGACAGCTCTGAATGATGATGGCCAGTCACGATTTTCTGGTCATATCTTTCAGAGGTGCCTGTTGTGCCAGGTAAAGAAGGAATTTGAAGGRGGTTGTCAAAGCCCTGGCCACTGGCCAGGCCCCTCTGTGCCATCCCTGATGCTTGTGGCAGCATTTGCTTTGCCTGATTTGGCTCTTGGCCACAGAGGAGGAGCAGGGGAGGCCACAGAAGGTGTTTGTACAACATGGGGATTGTCTAGGCGAGACCGGAGCCTTTGCCAAACCCGGAGCTGAGCTGATAGGAAGGAGATGTCATCAGTGTGTTTTTGCTAATTATCACTAATAATTATTTGTGTGTAGYTTCCCTTAGGAGCTCCAGTCCTGGCTGAGCCCCTGCTGCTCTTGCAGCCCTGTGCAAGTGGAACAAACAGGAGGGTCCTACCCCCAAATCCTGCAGGTGAGAGGACAGGGAGGGCAATGCAGAGCTTGGCAATGCCCTGAGCGTGGTGGTCAGCACGATGCATCCTCCCCTTCGATGTTCTCTCCCTGCTCACATCCACGAAATGAATCCACAGCCAGTTAGACCCTGTCTGTCCTTCCCTGGTTTTTCYGAGTGTGTTTGGTGCCTCAGCCTCTTGTCAAAACCCAGATTCATCAGAGCACAGCTATTAGCTGCTCCCTCCCATGCGAGATGTCTTTCTGCTGACATGGCAATCATTCTCCTGTCAACACGCCTTGACAGCACCAGGATTTCTCATTTCAAGTCCTGCTGTGTCCCAGGGTGATTCCCAGCTCCTCCATTAACCCCTGGCCCTGCAGGATGGGGGGAGCCAGCCCTGATGGATGCTCTGCTTTCCCTTCCAACTCTGGTTAGCAGAAGCTGCCTCCTGTTTTTCCTCTCAGCACTTGCCATACCTATGCAGAAGAGCATTTAACCTGGAAGTAGAGGGTGTCAGACTTTTATTCTCCTTTGCTTCTTATTTTCTGTGCTGAGAACAATGGAGGCAAGGTTTGCAGAGGGAGGTAATGTCTTTTTTTAGACTGACTGAAATAATTGGAAGAAAAACCAGGCAGGCTGTTGGGTACATGAGCCCTCCAGCAGGCCTGAAATAGCTGCAGAAGTCTGCAAAGCTGAATACCAGTGGAGAACAATAGCTCTGAGCGTGACTAGTGTTAACCAGTTCTGCCACCAAAGACCATTCCCCAGCTGTTTTCCTCGGGGGAATAAGTGGCATCACCCTCTGCCAAAATCCACTGTCCAGAGGTSACCCACGGCCAGGAGCCACCCCTGTGGCTGAGGGAGCCACASGGGTACAGGGATCTGAGCYCTGGGCATTGCTCCACGCTGGCTTYGTGGAGCATCCCTCACCTCTCTACATTCTGTGCCCTGTCCTGCTGCTCCTGGAGCCCGACCTGACCCACCCTGAGCCTGCCTCACCCCTGGGACCTTGCCTGACCCTGGAGTCTCTGATTTCAGGCACTGTCTTGCTACAGGGGTCTGCCCTGACCTCATGGGACCCTCTTTGAGGGGACCACGTGAGATACCAGGGASCCCCTTGACCCTTGGGACCTGCTGATTCCAGGGATTCTCCTGGAATTCTCCTACCTGGCCAGAGATGTGACCTGATCCCYGGGGACCCTGCCTCACCCCAGGAACTATACCCGACCCAGAGGACCCTGCCTAACCCTGGGGATCCTMTTGGACCCTGGGGACCATGACAGACACTGAGCACCTTCTGATTTCAGGGACACTCCGATTTCAGGGATATTGTCCGACAACAGGGGTTTTTCCTTATCCCTGGTGACCCTATCCGACCCCGGGGGATCTCTCCCACCCCAAGCTCCGTGTCCCGCCGCGGGTATGCTGTCATCTCTGGTTATCCTGTGCCATCCCAGGCTCCATGTCCCACCCCGTTCATCCCGTTCCCTGCGCTCATTCCCAGCCGGTCCCGGGGCTCGCAGCGGGGCCGGGGCCGGGCAGGGCAGGGGGGCCGGGCCAGGAGGCGGCGGGGCCGGGGCCGGCGAAGGGGCATCCCCGCCTCCTCGCTGGCAGCGCCGGAGCTGCCGGAAACCCGGCGGTGCTGCTGCTGCTGCCGCCGCTCCGGCTGCCCGACAAGTTGTTGTTGTTGCGGAGGGAGAGCGGCGGGGCCCGGGCCGGCAGCACGGCATGAGCGTCCGGCCGGAGCCCAGCGGGGCAGCGGGGCCGGCAGCGAGCCCCTGAGCGGTGCCCGGGAGCCATGGAGCGAGTGAGTGCGGGGCGGCAGCGGGACGGGAGCGGGACGGGAGCGGGGCGAGCCCGGGACAGCGAGACGGGACCCCCGTGCCGGGCGGGAGAGGCGCCTGCCGGGGCGGAGGGACCGCACCGCCACTTCGGGGGCTTTTTGGGGTGTTCGGCGGGACATCCCGGGGGACAGCGCAGGAGACGGCGGGGCGGGGGTTCCCCATCGCCGGCAGCCCCGGAGCGGCTCGGGCAGAGCCTGGGCACAGCATCCCCGCAGTCCCCGGGATGCTGGAGCCGGGAGGGGCTCGGGCAGAGCCTCGGCAGCGCATCCCCGCACTCCTCGGGATGCTGGAGCCGGGAGGGGCTCGGGCAGAGCCTGGGCACAGCATCCCCGCAGTCCCCGGGATGCTGGAGCCGGGAGGGGCTCGGGCAGAGCCTGGGCACAGCATCCCCGCAGTCCCCGGGATGCTGGAGCCGGGAGGGGCTCGGCCGGCACTGCCAGAGCCGGGCTCGTTCCACGCCTGTGGGGCCACCCCGAGTGACTCCGCTGGGGTGGTGTCCTGCCCTGCTGGAGCCCAGCCTGCCTCAGATCGCCAGCTTGGACATGTCTACGCACCTTCAGCCTTCTSCACTTCTGTTCTCCTCCTCCTCTCTGCTTGGGACGGGTTTAACTCGGAGAAGGGCAGTGGTGGTACTTCTGCACACGTAGGTTYTCTTGTCCATGGGATCCCACACCCCAATAATCCTTCTCTGTGAGATTGATTAAGATGCCACAAATTTGTTAGCAAGTTAAACAGGTCGTTTTTGCCCCTCGTCTGGCCACGCAATTATTCTGCTTCCTTTCCTTAGATGAGGTTTTGCTGCTCATGCACAAAGAAAGCTCCTGTTAGGATGGACTGCCGGAGGACTTCAGCCTCTGGTACATGCGATCCCTGTAGCTGTGGCTTGTCTCTCCCCCCTCACACCCCCTTATTTCAGCTCCCAAMATTCTGTGGCAAGAATGAAAGCTCTTTTAAAACAGCAGGGAGACGGCAAAGCGGCCCAAGTTGGTAGTGACTGAGAGTTGTTATTATCCGCTGGCATCCATGAAATTAATCCACAGCAGAGAAACTGCTTCCAGCTGGCAGCCGCCGGCCAAAGGGGCTTCGCACCTACCCCAGCACTGACTGACCCTCTCACCAGCTTTACTTTCTTAGTGATCCATGAATCCTCCAGGGATTGCTTGCAGAAGGGGTGTCAGAGACAGTTCCCCAAGTTGCACGTGGATCTGAGCAGTTTGTTTCCAGTGAGGCAGTTCTGCTCCAGCAGGCTGGGGAAAAGTGGCAGTGCTRACAGCCAGGTTTGGGAGATCATGTGGAGAGGGAGAAAAAGAGTGGAGGTGTGGGGATACAGGTTGTGTCCTGGGAGTTGTTCATCAGCGCCTTGGTAGAAAGGAGTGTGTGATAAGTGAGTGCTTGCTTGAAATGAAGTGGATGTAACTGGCTGAGGCACTTCTGTGCTCTGTGTAACTTTGAAAGCACCATCGTGATTCAGCTCTTGGGGGTTTGTTTTGTTGGAAGACATGAAGAGTATGTGGGTTTGTGGGCCTGTAAAATACAGGGCAGGGGAGAAAGAACTGCCTGATTGTTAAAGAAAAAGCCATCTTGTCTGATTTGGGTTCTCTGCTGAGCTGTAAAATGTGAGGCGAAACCAAGCTGAAGGAGTGGGACTCATGTTTCACTTSTAATGCCACCATGATATAAAATGCAGAGGTGGCCCCTATGGATTGGGTTTGGGAGCAATACCTTTGGCATGAGCCAGCACTGGGCTAACTCAGTTCTTCCTTCCTTTACACTGGCTCATTGGCTGATGTCAGGCAGGTTCTTCCCATGGATTTACCGCAGCATCAGGAATGAATCCAGCCCAAGAACATCCCAGGAAGGATATCTTAATATTTCTTTGAGAATGCTCCAATACAGCTGAGTTAACAGCAGCAGCTCATGTCTTTGTGTCATGGTCCCTTTCAATCTTGGAATGTCAGGCAGAGAACACAGGATAGGCACAATGCCCTGCTCCAGGTGCCGTTCCCTGGCCAACCTCTCCTTGCCAGTTCAGGGCAGGGCTGGCATAAAAACAATCTGCAAAAATGTTAGGCACCATCTCCAAGACTCTTCTTGCTTTTTCAGGAACAAACTGCCCAGTTGCATCAKCTGGGATTGTATGTTGTTAAGATGCAGGTGAGGGATTACCTGTCCCCCTCATGGGATGTGCTGGGGGAAGCTGCTGACCCAGAGCCCAGCAGCTCAGCATCCCATGGAGTGCAGGATCACACCCTCASATCTGCCTTGGAGCAGGGAGAAGGCAGCTCAGGTGACTCCTGTGCAGTGTGAGGGGCAGATCCCTCTGCTTGTGGCTGCTGAGACCAGCACTCYCCATTTCATTGCCCCTTCCCTTGCCTGAGCTGCTCAGTGGGGCTCRGAGTCACGGATTCTGTGTGTGGATGCTCCAAGGTGCTGGCACAGCAGCAAGTCCTGCCTGGTGCAGAGAATGCCCCGTGCATGGCTCCTGTCAGGCAGGGGTTCCAGCCAGGGCTCCTGGGTGATCCAGGGAGTTTCAAGGCAACACTTCAATGCCAAGGAGGGGAATTGCTGTCCCTGGAAGGCCAGAAAGCCAGACCCCAACCCAGCTCTGCCCTCTCTGTGCTTTGTGCAGAGGCGTCAGCATGAGCCCCAGTGCTGCTGGGGCAGGGTGTTTTTCAGAGGTAGACATTATGTWTGTGTCTTCACAGGGGATACTTTCATTTTAAAACCAGAGTAGTTTTCACACTGCAGAGCAGAGCACGGATAGACATATCTGCCATGTGACTTTAGCCTTTCTGCCAGGTGGGGGAAAAAACCCAGCAAAAATTCACCTGCCAAGCAAAAAAAAAAAAAGCCTTAAAGAGTAAAAACATTTTAGCAGTTGTTGGTCTGGACTCAGTTGAATAAACTGTTCATACAGTTACATCCATGCACAAGTGCTACGAGGGAGGTTAAAGTCCATGCCCAATTATCTAAAAATGACATCAAAAGGGTTCTCGATCAGGAAACCAGCAGGTCTATATTTGTGCAGGAAYTGATGTTTGCTGAAGTCGCAGATCTCAACTGAATACAACTTCCTGGCAACCTAAAAAGTCAAGTTTAAAAAAAAAAAAAMCAGCCTACGCAGTCCCTCTCATTTCCCGGAAAACTTTTTGATGCTCAGTCATCCTGTATTGTGGCTGTTTCAGATGAAGCTCAGTACATCTGAAATAACTGCTCCAAAARGCGCCAAAGTTGTTGCAGGTTTCAGTTATTACAGTTGTGTTACCTAAAAAACACAGTTTATTTGAGTTTCTTGTTCCCAGTCTGCACCCAAGACAACCTGCAATGCCCAGCCCCTTCCTGACCTTAGTCAAAATAAATGTGGCTGCATGGGGTGTTTAAGCTGTTTTTTCTTCTTTTCATGGATGCAAGCCCCCTCTTTGGAATGAGAGCTTACCCTGATGAAAGCTGCAGTCCAAGGGTGTGTTCAGTGGGAGTTTGGTGCATGAAAACAGATTCGTTAGCAAGGCTCTCCTCCAAATTTGTGAAGCTCGTCCGTACACACTTGCTCTGTTCTGGCTGTGGGAGTGTCCAGCTCTGACTCTGTTCCATGCACTTGGGATTTTCTCATGTTATGAAACAAGATGCCTGAGCTCCAGCCGGTGCAGTTTGTGCAGKGAGGGCCATTTTGGGATGTTTGGGGGCCTCTTCATACATCCTCATTTTGTGTGCTGGCTGTCTGCAGCAGGATTGCTGCTATTACATAAGGGGACATGGACAAAACTGAGTCTGGGGGACAGTGGGGTTCCTGGAGGAGGCTGGAGGRTTTGAGCTTGGCCTCTCCTGACAAGTCACAAGGCTGGTGAGGTGTTTGTGTAAGGGGATTTGGCTCAGTGAGGGATTCCCTTGCCTTGCTCCRGGGAAAGAGGCTTATTGAGGGATCCATGGGGTGTTGGAAACAGCAGGGTGCTCCCAGCTCCACAGGGATCCTGCCTTTTCACTCTGTCAGTGCACKGGAGAGGAGCAAGGCTCTCATCTGTTACCTGCTGGGAACATTTTAGTGCTGGGATGATGAAGTCCTGTCCCTCCTGCCACAGGAGYTGGTTTGAGGACAATGACCAAGCATAGACACCCAGAGGAGAAGCTTGCAGGAATGGCCTTGGGCTAAAATGTAAATGTTGCTACTGATGGCAGCAGAGTCCATCCTGCTGGGATACATCAGAAAGCTGGAGGAGCAAAGAGGAGAGGAGGTTGCACTTTTCCAGGATCACAAGTGAGCAAGGATTACCTCCCTAGAGAGGGAAGCAGAGCCCCTGGGGGAACAGAGGGGCAAGGTGAAATTGCTGCCATGCCAGCAGGATCACCAGGGATGGCTGGCTGGGGTCTGTGCCACTCCCCAGTCCTGTGGGAGCTGGTGGAATTTTCCTCTGGAAGATGCCAGTCTCCCATTGTGATCTGGTGGGGAGAGATCACGTTTGGTGTGTGCCAGAATTGTCTCTGGGCAGGCTTTCTGATAATGGAAAGTACTTTAGATGTAACTCCTTATCCCTTCTGTCCTTGCAGGATACAAAGGAAGGCTCAGAGAAASCAAAGTCTGCTCCAAGTGCAGAGAAGCATGGTTGGATTAAAAAAAGCAGCGGGGGCCTGCTGGGACTGTGGAAGGATCGTTACATCCAGCTACGGAAAACGCAGCTCGTGGTCTACGAGGACGAGGTATGGTCACAGCAAACGGCCTCGAGTGAGGGGCAGGAGCAGGGCCCTGGGGACACATCCATCTCCCTGTGTTCTTTACTCTTCCCTCCAGCCCATTCCTTTCAAAAGGCTTTTCCAGTTATCTCCAGGAAGGGWAAGAGCTGTAAAAGAGACGGCAGCTGCGTTTTTAAATATATTATATTTCATAAATAYTTTAGCCACTGAATATTTTGACAGAGTCATTGCCAAAACGAGGGGCAGGACATCCTGTGAGAAGGTGAACGGGGTAAAGCTTTGGGAGGAAGCAGGATATGTGCTGTGAGGTTTTGGCTTTTGAAGGATAAAAGTGATTGCAGCAGGCTGACTTCCCACCTTGAGGAGATGGCAGGCAMCCCTGCAGCTGTTTGGCACCCCTCAAGCAGCTCCAATTGTTGCCAGCCAGACTCTTCAGGGTTTCTTTTAGCCACTGAAGGATGCAGAGTGAGATTGTGAGTGCTTGCTGTCCTCCTTAAGCACGGACAGTCTGAATTTGGCTCATCTTTTCCCTTTACTTGAGCCAGTTCTGAGCAAGGCACCCCTGGGAGCCTTGTCCTGGACTTCCCTAGATAAACTGCSTGCCTGAAGTTCATGGCTGCACTTAGAGCTGTTTCCAGACAAATGAGGAATMAGAGCCAAGCCAAATCTGTCCTGCATTTTCAGGCGAGAAGAATGGAAAGTGCGGGGCTGGTCCTGCTCTGATGCAAAGGTGGCTCTTTCCTGAGTCAAGCCCCTTYTCCTGGGCTGGAAGCAGCTTCTGCAAGAGCTGAGTTTGCCCCACAAGTTAGAAATTACAGTGCAGAGCACAAGCTACAGCCAAGAGAGGCTTGAGATGAGGTGTGGGTAGGTCTGAGCCTTGTGTGTGCAGCAGGGTGGGGAACTGTGATCTGCACAACGTGCCTGTGAGTGTCTGGCCCAAGAGGATCTGGGTCATGTGTGGCCATCAGGATGATATAAAAGCAAAATCATGTAAAGCTTCATGTGCACTGTCAAGGGAAGAAGAATGGGGAAATGTTTTAGCAGCTGCATTGCTGCTGAACAGCAGTTTCGGCATCAACAGGCCTGACATTGAGTTCAGTTCTCTTTTTTTAAAAACATACTCTTGCCTAATAAAGAAGATTTGTTATAAACAGTTTAGGTTAAAGGGTATTACCTCTTCACTTGTGCTGTACACTTCTGCTCTTCCCAAATCCCAAGGCTTTCTGGTGTCATTTGTTCTTAGCTGTGAAATGTCATGGGGAGTGTGAGAATAATGACAGGAGAAGCCAATGTCAGGTGATGAGCGGCTCGAAAGGCAGGAAAAGCAGGGGGTTCTCTTCCCCAGAGGGATGCAGCCTGGTCCTGCAAACTGTTGRCTCTCTGTAGATCATTTCCCAGTGCCCTGGACACCTGTTGACTCCAGCTGAAGCTTCAGGAACTTGCAGATTCAAAATCTATAAACATGACGTCGGGTTTTTTTTAAAGGGCATGCCTTTAAAAACAAGATACATTGAGGCTCTCATTACCACAAGGGAAAAGGAGGCTTTTAAAGTAAGATTAATTTTCACAGAYATTCAGAAGAAGGAAAAATCCCAATCATTGAAAGGGTTATTTTATTATCTCAACAAGGAAAATGGCATTTGTAACAACCAGGCATAATGTTTTCTGGTAGCCTGCGGATTGTGGTAACATCCTGTAATAAATTGCATCTGTARGCTACAGTAGCTGCAAGGTCCCATTATTGTGAATAAGGGATCATGTTAATATCTATAGGCTATTAAACTGGCTTACAGTGAAGTCAAATGTCTTAGGAGAGGAAATTGCTGCAAAATTATCTGGTAGCACAATAGGATAACATGTGATTGTACAGACTTACTACGAGGAAACCAAAGGAAATGGCAATTTTCTGCACTCAGGAGGGGTCTTGTTGCCGCAGAATTGAGGCAGTTCATGTTTATTACTGTATTTATCTTCCTTTAATGTGAGTCAGGGCAGTGTGGCTGTCTCTGTCTTACAAATGAGGAACAAAGTTTTTGAGCTTTTGGGAAGGGCTGATGTCTAAGTAGAGTCTTTGTTGCAGTGTGCTGTGGTGGTTAGCGTTTCTGGAGCTCAAGGTGCAATTTTTCCCATTTGACCCTCTCCACATATCTGCTCTGTGTGACCCTGGAGAAGGACAGAGCATTCCAGACCATCCTCAGGCTGAAACATTTACAAAYGGGACTGTTCAGTGCTTGCTGAAAAGAATCGAGATAAAAACATCAACAGCAACAGAAGGCATCTCTCCTTATGTATCCTAAATTAGAGTTGGGTTAAACGGGAGGGAGGTCAGCTTCCATGTGGGCAGGAAGGTTTGGAGCTGAACATTTCAGCTGCTCCGAGCCCATCAGATTTCCAGGAACTGAGCTGTTGCCTTGCACTCAGTGTGCTTTTCTCAGTGCCCCCGTGTCCAGCTCTGCACAAGGACGTGCTGATGTTGCCTTTAGCAGTTGCYTCCCATGCAGGACACCCTGTTGATGCAGTGGCATGAGCCTGGCTGCACTTGCAGCTGAGCTTTAGGTGCAAAACAAGAGTGGAGGGGGCGGCCAGCACAAGATACAGGCAAGAACATTGTCCAGTGTTACTGGAAAGTACAGTCTGAGCTGCACACAAACATTGTACATCACCATCAGCAGCAATCTCCAGGAATGCGCTCCTGACCTGCCCTGGGAATGTGTTCCCATTCTGCATCTGCYAGTCAGGCTTTGGGTTTGGTTTAAAGCAGAGCCACCTCCTGAAGGCAAATGGCAAATGGCAAATGGCTCTTGTGTTACCTGGAGCAGATGGGCTGAGAGTCATCCCACAGGGCTTCAGGTTTCTGTCGGTGCATGGGGAAAGAAGTGAGATGGGTTTCTTGTTCTCTGCTGTGCCTGCATCTACAGCAYCCTGCATCTGTACCCTCACCTAAATAAAGACTCAGTTAAGCAAGATGTTTGTATGATATTACACACCCAAATGTCACGAGAGGAGGCACTGATGCAAATACAGGGTGCTTGGATCTCAAGCAACTGCTGTGCAGGTCCACAGAGAACAAAGCAGGTTATTTTGTAATGGTTTTTCTCGTCTTCTTGTCTCTGCATATTCTTGCCAGAATAAAAAAAACCTACAGAGAGCGTCTGAAGACCAGGCAATCCTATGTAGAGTGACCAGACAGATCAGTATTATCGCTTCATGGATAGAAAGCATCAGTCTTCAGTTTGGATTTTGTTGTCCTTTAAACAGTGCAGCTACTGCTTAGAGCTGTTTTCTTGTTGTTTTAGGGTTTCTTTGTAAGTGTATTTGACAGAGAAAGGTCTTCCTGTGTTCTAGAGATCAGAGGATCCACTTGATGTTCAATAGTTGGACATTTAACATCTGCTTTTTGTCCCTGATAAAGTGATAGCAAGTGATACACAAAAGTGATTTATTAAAACTTTGAGAACTTCAAATACAGAAATAAATTATTATTTCATGCCTAGATGTTTTACACTGAATGGAGGGTCTCAGCCCATGAGTGTGTGTCAGTGAGGAGGAGTTTGCTCTGAATTATACCTTCATATAAAAAAAAGGTTCCAGAAATACTTTTTCCCCACTTTTTATTAACTTTTTGTTAATGAAATTGTTTGCCAAGTGTGGTTTTTCAGCTAAGCACATGCATTAATGTGTCCAGGTGTTCGGTACTTTTCTTCTTAAGGGCCAAGCCAACAGACACAGATATGTTTATGCCAGAGGATCTGCTCCACAAAGAGTTAATGGAATAGTTTTTCTCTGCATTAAATAATGAATTTAGGGGTTGTGTACCAGGATTAAACTTGGGCGTGTGTCAGGGCAGTGCTCTGGAAGTGACCTTGTCTCTGCCTGGTGCTGAGTGTCCTCCAGGTCCCAGGAGGCTGAAGGGACCTGGGGACCTGCCTCAGGGTTGGGTCTTTCGTTCTTTATCTTAGCGGTGCAGGACAGACATAAAGGCTCTCTTTGTGACCCAGGTAGGCTCACAGAGAGGGGATGGCCCCTTGCCAAGGGTAAAACASAGACAAAAGCCCCATTCTGGTGCTCCCTGAACTCAGATGCTTTTCCTTTACCTCAGACATGGAGTTTTTATGTTTCTCTGGCTGCTTTCTTCCCTGCCCTGCCCTTCCCTTCCCTTCCCGAAGAGGATAACTCACTTGATGAGTTCAGATCCTGAGATGATGGAGCCATAGCCTGCACAGCCAAGGTGTCCCTAGCAGACAGCACCTGCATGTCCCTGTCCTCTCTGCCCTTGTTCCTGGCCAGCTCGCAGTCCCCACAGCCTCCCCAGGGAGAAGAGAGGCAGCTGCAAGGCAAGAGGCAATCTCATGGCAAAACCACATCTGTCCATGCTGCCAAATCCTCCTTGTTCCCCAGCCCAGTGCTTCACAGCCCTTAGTGAAGCTCCATGTGGGAAGTGGGAGCACAGCTTGCACGGGATCAGAGGAGAAGTTCCTGTCCCAGAGGCAGAAAGCACGGTGTGAACAAGGAGAGTGGCAGGGGCTCTGCTGGGGACAGAGCTGCTCTTGGGAGCAGGAGAATTGGGCTGGTGTYTGGTCAGAGCACGGCCCAGCTCTGCATCCTGAGCCCAGTGAAGAAGGAGCTGGAGCTGCACCGTGCGCCAGGGCTGTAACGTGGGCGGTCGTTCTCCCAGGGCCAGGATGAGATCACCCATCCCCGAGCCATGGATTCCTGACCTCACCCTTCTCTGTCATTTGCTGGCCGCGGAGGGGTTATTATTTCCATCCCTGTCCTTTTGCAGTGACATTGYGATACCAGGATTGCAGCAGGAGCCTTCCAAGGGCTCGGTAGCGTCAGCAGGATTTTATCGGCTGGGTTTTAGGTTTTGCCAGGATTAATCTGCTCCTCCTAGTATGCATTTTCCCAGTTCACATTCACCTACTCAGTGTTAAATGAAATAAACAGTAATGTCATTAAAATAATAAACCYAAATTAGATCCAGACGTCCCTCGGTGGCTCAGGACTTGCTCTGTGTACTGGCATTGGCTCTGCCGGGCCCCCATCCCCAGATAGGAGAGTTAAAAAAGCTGAAACACAGCCTGAGTTCTGCACAGCGACTTAAATGTCAAGTGGTAAAGGGAGGAAATTCCCCGCAGCCCACTTCCCTCTGAACTCTCCATTCCCTGCCTCCAGCCACGCAGCAGCTTCCTGGCTGCGACATGTTTCCTCATCCCACACCCCCTTCTCYGCTGCAGGAATTGCTAAACACAAACTCACACGGGCACAAGGAGCTGCCTCGGGAGCAGAGCCTGAGCTGGGGGTGGTTATGACCAGCGATTTTMATTCAGGATGGTACTGGAGAGGTTCCTGAGCCATGCTGACTGTAGCACTTCACTGGCAAGAGCTGCTCTGAGATTCTCACTGCTCATTTCTGCTTAGCAAAAGGGAGCTTTGGTCTCTGCTGGGCTACTGAGACATGAAGAATATTATCTGCCTGGAGTTACGCTGCGATTCCTATTAGGGATGGTGCTCTGCAGCTGAACCGAGCCACGCAGCACGTGTGGAATTTTAGTTATGTTACCRGCAGAAATGAGCCAAGATCGTGGCCGGCAGTCATCAGTGGAGATACTCCAGAGATAAATATTCCCCACTGAGATGCTGGCCCAGACGGTTTTGCTGGCTGTCCAGGGCTGTATTTCCAATCCTAAGCGTTCTGACAGCTCAGAGCGTGGCTGGAAGAGGGCTGTGTCCATCACACAYGGCTCCTGCTGACCCTTGTGATGTGAGGAGCAGCCTGCCCCAGCTCTTTGTGGCACCAGGGCTCCCCTCTTATCCCTGCCGTGCCTCAGGCTTCCTGAGGGGCTGCTTGGACCATCATGATGCTTGTGTCATCTTCCCTGCAAAAAAGCAGGATTACATCTCCTCCTTTCATTGTGGGGAGGAGGTGGTGTCACTTCTGGCTGCAGATCCCTGGCTGAGGCCACCAGCAATGGCAAAAGCTGGTGTTACTGTCCCCAGGCTGTTATTTGCTCAGCCACTCTGGACCACTAGRCGTGTAGCTTGAAGGCCAGGGTGTTTTCTTAGTGAGATGCCAGCCTGATTTATGGGGCTTGCTGTCTGCATGCAGGTCATTTTTAAGGCAGAGGAGCTTTTAGACAGATGCAAAGGGAAGACATGCAGAGTTTGATGGTCTGTGATTGATTTCAGTGCCTCCTATTCATAATAATGTTTCATTCCCTCTCTGCAGGATGAACAGAAGTGCATAGAAACAGTGGAACTGGAGAGTTATGACAAGTGCCAGGAGCTGCGTGCGCTACTAAAAAGGAAAAATCGTTTCATTTTAATTCGCTCCCCGGGTAAGAAGGTAGGATTGCCTTTCTCATCACCCTTAAGTGGACTAACTCCAAAGTGAGCTCCCAGCCAGCTGCACCCAGGGCAGATGAAAGGCTCTGAGACTGAGCTCCTTCACAGCTGTAGCTGTGAAAGGTCTGCAGTGTGTAAGAAGGAAAGCCACTGCTGTCTAGACTTCCATCTTGTCATGGGGAAAGGGTCTTCCTGTAGGAAGAATCCCTTGGCTTCTCCTTTCCCCTTCATGATTTAACATAATGAAGTATGAAGTCATTGTAGGCAGCAAGAAATGACCTCCCCTCTTCATTTTTTTCCTGCCTTGTAATCTTCTTTCTTCCAGTACTCCCTAACAAGTGGAGAATGACCATTCCCTGTGGTTCCTCCATGTCCTCTGAGCTCCTGTAGATGCTGCAGCTTTGCCCAAGTTCCAGTGAAATCAGTAATTCTGGTCCATGTACTGAGACAATTCCTGGAGCTGGAGYTATTGATTTGAGAAACTCCACTGCAAAATTACTTAGAGCCAAACAATTCCTCGGAGAAAAGATTTATTTTGCAGAATCTGTGAAACTCTACATCTGTAGCTTCCTGCACAGCATCTGGTTAGATCCAGAACCTAAAACCCAGGCTGGCATTGCAAAGAGACTRTTCATCCATCTGAGCACTGGGTGGATGCAAGGATACCGTGCTTYAYTTCCTATCTATATTCTTCACCACTSCATATCTCTGGAAGTTCTCCTTAGTTCCTACTTGCACGTTATCCATTTCAGCATCTTTATGGGCTGAGATGTTTCATTGTTGCTTTGGGGGGTCACACTTTGCCTTCTAATTTCAATGTGATTTTGTTTGCCTCAGAGTTCTAACTAAATCTCCCCMTGCAAATCTGAGAAGTTGTGAGGGACGAAACACATTCATTTCCGTAAGAACATGAACAGCCAAAAATACCAATTTGCTGCATTCCCCCATCTCCATTTTGTTTAAATAAATGGAGATTGTTTAGTCCTTGTTGTCACTGTTGCTTATCCTTTCACTCCAGTCACTTAGTGTTTATTCGTATAATAAGACCCCAGCTGAGTTCAGAGCACCATTGTGCTAAACTTCATTCCAAACAACAAAACAAGGACTGTCCTTCTCCAAAACCCTGGGCTAGTGAGCTCCTGCAGAGTGCTAGAGCCCAGAACACGTTAGGAAGGAGTTCTTCCCTGKGAGGGTGTGAGGCTGCCCAGAGAAGCTGTGGCTGCCCCATCCCTGAAGTGCACAAGACCAGATTGAAGCARYCTGCTCTAGTGGAAGGTGTCCCTGCCCATGGCAGGAGGGCTGGAACCAGATGTTTKTTGAGGTCTCTTCCAACCCAAAGCATTCTAGCCTTCTGTGATCCTAAGGGTGCACCCATTCCCTGGAGGCCAATAATAAATATCCTGTGTGCTCAGAGATGGGCAGCACAGTAGGGAAGAGGAATTATCTGCGAGTTTGTTACTGAGAGAAGTTTGTGTGATAGCTGCATATGTCTTTGCACTGCTCCATGAAKCAATTCAGGGTGAGACCTGTTCCTAAACTTCTTATTTCTTGCTATGAGAAAAATATGCCCAAACTGTGCCCAAAAGGGTAACTTCATCCTTTTGGCATGCTGGCAAGTTTACAGCCACSCTGTTTTTCATGCCACTGATTCAATGGAGACCTAGATAGAGGCTACTTTTTATAAGGCTCTTTTGGTGAAAGGAAGGGCTTTTATAAATGAAAAGTTCCCTGTTTGTAGCTCCCCTCCCGCCCTTGGTTTGGCTGGGAATCTGGTGAGGCTGTTGACACACAACATACTTTGGCAGATGCTAGCACAGGCTKCAATTAGGAGGCCAACATACACAACTGTCCTTCTTCTGTTTTGAAATCGCAGCTGTGGCGATATATATCAGTTAAACATTTTCCATTTGGGAGGCTTGCTGCCATCCACAGTTTAAAATCACCCTGGGAGCCAGCTTGCCAAGCCCTGCCACATCTTGCTAGGGTTTTTTTTTTTTTTTYCCACCCTCTCTCCTGAGCATAATTCTGAGGAATGAGTTTGAGGGACCTAGGAGCAAGCTAGGAAAGGCCATTTCTGTTTCAGTGCACAAATCCTGAATACAGGGAGCCTAGTTTAGTTGTAGGGGAATCCCAGTTTAAATCTTGCATGGGATATTTTTGAGCTGAGATGAATCAATCAGTTCAAACTACTCTGCAGCTGAAGTTGCACCTGAATAAATAATTTGTCTTGYTAGACACYGGTCGTTGAAGAATGTAGCCCAGATTCTGCTTGGCCTGTTCACAAGGATGACATTTTTGTTAAGCTGTGACAATATGAGCATGTCACACGCCTGCACTGGTATGGAACTGAAAGAAAGCTCTGCCCCTTGAGCTTCAATTCTTCAGTGAAGGAAGCTGGCAGTGTGCAAAAGCCCCGTTCTGCTTAGAAATCCCAAATGCTTCATTCCATCCACAACAATTAAATGAAAACTTTTGGATGCAGAGAGCTGGGCTTCTAAGAAAGGGCAGCAGCCTTGGCCCTGAGACTTTAAAATGTACTACTCACAGTGCAAAAAAGCAGTGCAAGTGATGCTCGGTGTAAACTCTGGAAATTACTGAGATTGGCACAAGTCTGGTATTCAGTGGATCTGAAAATCTTCAGCTGCAGGGAAGTATTAATATGGGGAAGAGGGTGGTAGGAAGGGAAAGTCCTTACTTTCCAAGCAGTCCAGCAGCTCCACACATGTCCTTGCACCTGTGGTCAGGGCTGGAAACTTCCATTGCTTATTTTTCCCTTCATCAGTTTTTGAGGTACCTGGAACTACCCTTCACGAGGGGCCCAGTCTGGAAGCTGCTCTAGAATGCAGTGAGGTTTGGAGGAATCTGCTCCTGGGGTCTGCCAGTCTGGCCAAGATGCTGCATTATTCTCAGGGATAACACAGCTTTCAGTTCATCTGCAGAAAACCACCAGAGTCCTCTGATAATCATCTCACAGAAMCATGGAATGCTCTGGGTTGGAAGGGACCTTAAAGATCMTCTGGTTCCARCTCCGCTGCCACAGGCAGGGAATCCCTTGGCTTCTCCTTTCCCCTTCATGATTTAACATAATGAAGTCATGAAGTCATTGTAGGCAGCAAGAAATGACCTCCCATCTGGCAGATAGACTCTGCTGCATTCATGGTAGTTTGAGATGTTTCTGACCCAGCTCTGCTCCAGCTTCTGCTGGAGGTGGCCACCCTGTACCAAAAGTCTGCAGAACGGAACAGATTCCCCCAACAGTTCACAAGCAATTCACAGTCCAGTTCAGCACAGCCCCACCAGGATTTGCACTGGAACAGGTCAGGACCAAGCACAGATTTCTGTCACCCAGCTCTGCAGCAGATCTGCAGAATTGATCAGCAAAGAAGAAGTGTTGGGAACAGTCTTATCCTGCAGCCACACTGCTCTCCAGAGCTTGCCTGTTAAATCATTTCATGCAGGTTCAACAGACTGAACACTGCTCTTTCCTGGAAAGCAGGCTCAGCACAGCCATCAGCCTGTCAGTGCTTGAGGASACTGATGTCTCAGGGAAGACAAGGAGCAATTTGAGAGCCAGTGGCCGCTGCTGTCACGGCAGTGATCTGCTGGGAGCTCTTGTTGTGTGACATCTCAGCAGTGATTCAGCAGGAGCTGTGCTGTGCTCTCAGGAACTGTCAGTAAATTGTGCATTCGTGGCTTGCAATGGTCACTAGGTTTGGCCATGACAGCTTTTTCTGGCACTCCAGCCTGTTGTTTAGGGCATGACTCAGTCTCAGCTGGCTTAGCAAGAAGGAGTGCAAATGTGTTCCCCTGCCCCTGCCCTCTCACAGTGCTGTCACTGACTCTCTGCCTTAAATTCCTGCTGGAGAACAGACCCTGCTTAATGTTTAGTAGGAAATATCCATCTTTAGATGCATCTGCTGGTATCTGTAAATACTTAAATGAGTAAAATACAGACARGATAAATTCATTTGTTCCTTGTTTGTTGAGATCCTGGTAGTCTCAGAGTAGTGTGCAGTCCCAGTGACAGGCAGCTCCTTCCTGCCTCTCGGCTGCAGCTTTCCTGCTTTGCAGAGAGCTCCCATCCCAGTTTGGGTTCACCTCCTCCCCCAGTGCCTTGGCCRAGGACAGGAGCCACAGATGGATGCAGACAGACCAGGACTGCAGGGCAGCACAGAGGCTGTGGCTGGCAACAGCCCGAGCGTGAGTCTCAGAGCCCTGGCAGCCCGACTCTGCCTTGGTGTCTGGGGGTGTTTTATGAAAAGGAAAAAAAATTCTAAGMTACCTGGGCACTGGGAGGTGCCTGCTCCTCTGTGTGACAGCCCCAGGGAGATGTGCAAGCAGGGAGCAGGACTGCAGCAACGTGAGGCTGGCATTGCCATGGCAAGAGAGCAGGGTGCCACTGTGCTGCTCATCCTCCCTCACCCAGCTCCCTTCCACTGCCACCTTCCACCAGTCCCTTTCTCTCACCATCCATTGGATCTGCATTTGCATGCCAGAGGGACATCTCAGCTTCTCATTAACGAGGAACCACCCCCGTGCCCCGAGATCTGCTCTGCTCTGCCACAGAGCTGCTGACACCAGTGCTTAGTCAGTCTGGGAGGCTTTATTTGGAATGAGGCACAGAAAGTGGCATTGGAAGAGGAAGCTTCAAGTGAGTTAGGAATCCTTCCCCTGAACAACATGTACAGAGATTTGTAAACCCTGGTATGGGCTGCCAGGTCTTTGCCAGGCAGTGCAGCAGCTCAGCTGCTCACAAGTAGGGCTTTCTCATAAGCTTTTATAATCACAAAGCTTTGGGGCAAAATCGTTTCCAAACAAAAAAAGTTTTTAAGCACACACAAAACCAGGCCAGCTAGGACTAAAACAAAATCTGGCTGTTGCTCTAGTTTGGAGCCTTGCCTTCCCTTAGGTTCCTGGTTAGCATGGCCCTTCTGCATCCCAGACAAAGGGCTCTTTTTGCAGAGAGCTGTGGGTCAGGCCCCAACCTCCCCTCTGAGCTCTGGGAAGGCATGTGGTCCCTTCACCTTACGTGCAAAATGATTGAATAAAGAACTTTTCCCCARATTAACTGCCTGCTTGCCATGCTGGTTGTGACTGTCTAGCACTTGATAGCTGTGATGTAAATCCATGGCATTGACATGAGAAATAAATACAGAAAGTAAGAACAGTTGGTTTCAAGAGTGGGTGTAAGGAGATCAGGCTTTAGTTCTGCAGAATTTCTGATGGTCCCTTCACCCAGAACAGTTGCTGCTTTGTTGTGCCATGAACAGGGAGCTGCTAAGAGCACTCGACTGTCAGTCACCATTAGCTTTGTCTCTYTTATTTAATATAGTCCCTGTTTTATACAGACAGTGCTGTGATTTTGGAATGTGGGGCCTCATTTAGTAAAAAGCTGAGGCTATAACTGCTCTTGAAAGCAATGGGAAGGTACAGAGTACCTATAGTAAGTTAAATACCCACAAAAAACTATTCCAAATGAGAACCCCATGAGGCTGTGTTTTGAACAAGCCTCTCTGTGGCTCACTTGCCCAGCTGTAAGAGGGGGACAATTTCAGTTAYTCTGAAAAAGAATTTGTGAAGCCCCCCAGATACTGTAGTGATAAGCAGAAAAGAAACAAATGCTGTCAAGGGAATCAGTAATTCTGTTTTCAGGGCAGGGCTGGAGCAGAGTGAAATCAATAAGACACATTGACCCAGGAGGATAAAACACATGATGGAATAACTGAGTAAGAAGTGCCACCCTGTTGTCAGGGACGGTGCTAGGAGGAACACTCACAGCAGGCTGACATCCCTGCAGTCCAGAAACACTGGGAGTGTCTAATTTTTAAGTGTTTGATTTTGCAACGTTGCTGATGTCCTTTAGCACAGGAGTATTCCTGCATGCCTGTGCAGTGTGGATYAGGGCACTACATGGAGCTTTTTGGATGCCAGCTGCTGTGCCATGGAGCCATGTGTGATGTGAGGATGATATTTCTCTCACCTGAGGTGCACTCTGGGGCAGTGCTGGTGAGGTGCTCAGAGAAAACAGCAGCCAAGTAAATAACACCCTGCCTGTTGTCCCAGCTGGAGTCAAGAAGAGTTTGGAAAAGCACAGAGCAGTGCCATGGGGCTGTCCTGAAGGAAGGGAAGATCTGTCTGGCTGGAGGATAGGCCATACAATTACCCATCCTCCCTCCTTATTTGTGACCCACACTTCCTGCCAGCTCCCTCTCATATGGCCAGCTCTTCCCTTCTCCTTAGGACAGCTCTTCACACCTCAGAGAATGCACGTCTGCAGCACTCATTGCTGGATTTCATTTGCAAACAGAAAAAGATRCGGTGAATTTTTGCACTTAGGTTGCTCTTATGCCTCATGGTGTCCATGTTCAGCTGGGTCAGGGTTAGTGCAGCCCATGTCAGTGCCCCACATTCCCGTATCAGTTCTGTTTGCAGAGGAACAGGAACAGGGAAGCAGGCAGAGCCCACTGCATGCAGCCTCCCCATTCCTTGTCATCTGGGGGAAGTGAGAGACAAAGTGTTTTACTCCATCTCAACCAGCCAAGATGACTTGGACTTTTAGTCTGACTCTAAACAGTGTGACCATTTGCTGTACAACTYACTGCTGCTCCAACAGCTATTCCAAGTGTTTTGCAGAAGGAAGAAACTTACTTTTTTACTACTGTACTTACTAGTTACCAAAATAAAACTAAAGCAACAAACTGTCCAGCATAACAAAATCCTGTTGATGGGAGCTATGCCAAAGCACAAAGGAATCTGTAGTTTAAACACAGGCTAGAACTGGATGTTACATAGAAACTGAAGTGATTCAGAGGTACCTCTGGTCCTGACAAGGAATGCTCAGGCAAAAAWTGTCTGTCTGCTCTTGCAGGTTCATGACATCAAATTTCAAGCTCCATCCTTGGAAGAGAAGGAATCGTGGATAAAAGCTCTTAATGAAGGGATCAATAGAGGCAAAAAYAAAGTATTTGATGAGGTAAGAACCAGTTTTCAAACTCCTGTATTTCTGTGTCGGTTCTCATTCATGGCTCCTTTAGCTAAAAGCAGAACTTCCCTGAGTCACTGTTCTCCCCATCCTTTCTGCAYGCCAGCCATGGTCCAAGGAAAGAGAAAGATGGTGTGCAAGACAGGGCAGGTTCCTTCTCTTCTGAGCTTGGATCAGAGGATTTGTGGGAGTTCCCAGTCCCAATGCAAGGCACTGGTGCAGRGAAGAACTGCAATGCTGGGTTGTGTTAATAACTGAGATGCAGCCTGGAGAGACTCATCTTCCCCATGCTGCCATGGTCCTCAGCACCAAGCAGCCTGGAAATGGAGGTGTTTGGTAGGATATAGCCGAGTCTTCAGCACTGGAAAAATCTGMAGTGACTCAGTCCAGCAGCTRCTCCGCCTGCAGTCTGGGGAGAAGTCTGGTGGAAAGTTTCTCCATGGCCCTGGTCAAACCTGCCTGCCTCTCAGCTGGCCCCAGCACACCTGCACTTCCAAAATCTCCTCTCATCCTGCTGCACAGAAGGAAGGATGAAAATTGCACAACCTAGAGCTTGTTTAACCTTGCCCTACTCCCTCTTAGTTGATCCCTGAGCTAAACCAAAGGACCAGCATCTCTTCTGCAGTTCTTTCAGCAACTGAAAGGAAGTGAACAAAACCACCACCACGGGAATGACACAAGAAGAAACACGCAGGGTAAAGAGGGACAAAGCTGTTAGCAWGATCTGTTTAGCAAAGGAAACCAAAGCAACGAGTAAAAGTTTTGAGAAAAGGGACAAGTGAAGTAGATCCAGTGCTAGAGGTGGGAACTCTGAGAGGCTGGACTTTGCTTTCATTCAGCAGAGGGCAAAGAATACGGGCACAGTGGGCAGTGAACTCTGCACACCCTTCAGCAGCACAGCAAGGTGGGATCTCAGATCACCTCCCTGCCCTGTGACCTGGGSTTATTCTCCTTACAGAGGGAGCCAGCCTCTAATTCTCATTCATTCCATTGAGGATCAAACCTCAGATTTAAAGTGTTYCCACATAGGCCAGGCACAGGCTATTGGGTCAAACCCTCAGCTGGCTTGGATTATCTGTTCTCCCCTGAAGGAGCTGTGAAACCACTCTGCCAYACCAGCCATTTTTCTCTTTAAATCRCYATTTCACCCTTGCCAGCTTTSCTACTGTACAAASTCGTGGTAGCAAGGACACACAGATATTTCAGTGTCCCTGGTCAGTGGTGCTGCCCCTCCATGTGCAGCAGACTCCAGCGTGGCTGGGTGGTCACAGCAAAGAGAAATACCTGTCAGGGCACTGGGACCTCCCTTCCTACACGTGTGGGGCAGTAGATTTCTCATCTGATTCCAGGAAGTAAATTTGTTAATTCAGCTGGAGTTGCAATTAATCCAGGTCACTGCTCACACCTTCTCCTCAGCATCCTGCAGTCATTAGAGCTGTGGAAGGGAAGTGCTGCTGATACAGTTCACAGTCAGGTCACCATTATTAATGAGCTTTCACCTCTGAGATTGAAACAGCATTTTTGGTGCTGTGTTCTGCCACATGCAGGAGCTGGTCCAAGCACAGGGTGCAGTGAGGACAAAGCTCCTTGTGTCCTTCCCTCCCTGCCCCTTATGTGGAGGGAAGTTTAGCCATTGCAAACCTYTGAGATCTTAAAAATCCATCACATCCATGCAGGGCTTTGCAGGCAGGCTGTGACTGAGCTCTGAGGTGAAGACTGGTGGTGAAATGTCTCCAAATGCTTCAACACTTCAGGTGTGACAGTGACAACTTTACAGACATACCTTGACAAATTAATGACCCTCCTCCTTTTTTGTTTTCTTCCTCTTCCAACTGTTAAAGGTGAAAGTGGATGAGAGCCTTTCACTGGACCATGTAACTCGGGACAGAGTGAAGGTGTCCCACGGACGCAGGCCACCCACAAGAAGTCACCTGAAGGAGGTAAGTGCACTCTGTTGGAGTGAGGCATCCTACCAGGTGGGATCACTGAGAGCTGCTCCTTCCTCCCAGGTACCAAACCCCAGAGAAAACCCCAGGTAGGGACAGCCCTGGGAWATCTAACCAGGGAAACAACTTCCTCCAGGAGAGGTGGTGCCAGCACCTCTCTAATGAAGCTTCGGGTTCCCATAGATCTCTGTCTGCTGCAACAGGTTACCATCTATTTAGCTTTTCATAACTCACAAGCTGCTTCACCATCTGCTCAGAACCATTAGTGTTTCATTTTCATCACAAGAGACCGAAGCACTTTTATTTATTTCCTAAAATGTGATGATTTTGTAACCACAGTGGTCTGAGGGTGGAAGAACTGCATGGTCCATGGGGAGTAGCCATATTTTTATTAAGCTAGCCAGAGAAAGCAGATGAGCTTGTAAGCCCTTCCCTAGGTCTGAAACAGAATACATTATTCTCCCAGCAGTTTTATAGATTAACCTGTCTACTTTTAACTGATTTTCTGGGTCTGCCACTTAAAAAAAAAAAAACCAAACAAAACTAGAAAAAATGTAAAATAAACCTGCATTTCGTTTCCAGGGGAGAGGTTCTCACTAATGTTTGATTCCTGTGATTTATGAAAAAGTTTCTACAGACAGATTGATATTTTAGCAAAGCATGAATCTCAAGCAAGGAAGGTTTTTAAATCAAACCTTCTTTCTTCAAACTTCCAAGACTCAGACTTATGTGCCTGCACAACACTCAGATGACCCTTGTGCAGAAAATGAGATGCCTTGAGACTTTTTACTTTGCATAGAAATGGAGGGAGAGTGTCTCTTGCAGAGAAATGCATGAGAATGAATCATAGATTCCCATCCTCCAGAAAACCRCAGAAGAAAACATGACAAAAGTCACAGCAACAATGAAGTGTGGATTCTGTTGCCTAATACGGGTTCAGTGAGATAGGAAGCCCTTCCCCAGGCACTAAAAACATCTCTCTTCCCTATCACTGTTTTCGTGAGATACCTCTGAGGTTGATACCTGTAAAACTTCTCACCCTCAGCCAAAATCAGGAGAAACTGGCTTACAAATTCAGAAGCAGGAATGAGGGGAGAGAGCCTGCAGAAAGATGTGTATCATGGCTGCTGGCTGCAGATTCCTGGAGGAAATGGCAGGAACATTGATTTGCAGTGTTCAAAGCAGGCCAGGTGAGGATGGGTCAGGGCCAAGCTGCCAGGATGCAGCTTGCCTCCATCTCTCTGATGAACTGGAAAGGCAAAGAAAGGCTTGAAGTAAACTCCACACTACAGAGCCTGGCCCTGGCTGCAGCTATGCCTCCCTGTGGTTTTGGGTTCCCTCACAAAGGAACTGTCACCGCTTTTCTCCCTGAGGGGCTCTGAGCTTTCACGCTGCAATGTCTTTGCTAAGTCCATCCTTTTTAGGAAAACCTCCCTACTACAAAGATTTGCACACAGCCTGTGGTCTGAAGGAGGTCTAACCAGCTGAGGCTTGACCCTGGTAAGCAGGGATGACATCAGGTTGGAAGAAGCAGAAGGCAACACGAGTACAATAGTGTCCCTGCCCGAGCAATCTGAAGATGAACTTGGTTTATGACAAGCTCAAAAGCAGAAAAGTGAGCATTTGGGGAGGCATATTGTAAATGAAAGGGGATTCCGCTACCACAGGATAAAGAATAAAAATAAGACAGAGCTTAACAMTAGCACCCACAGGAAAACCAAGAAGTAAGGTTAAAAACAGCTTTAAGACGTTCTTATCAAAGGAAGTAGTAAAATAAATTTTGTGCTTTTGTTAGAATCAAGGGATGGTTTGGGTTGGAAGGGACCTTAAAAATCATCRTCTTCTCCTGCCAGGGCAGACAACCTTTCACCAGACCATGTTACTCAAAATCCTTTACAGCCTTGCCTTGAGCACTCCAGGGTCAGGGAGTCCACAGCCTCTCTGGGCAACCTGTGCYAGGGCCTCACCACCCTTACAGTGAAGAATTTCTTCAAAATATCTAAACTAAATCTACCCTCTTTCAGCTTAAGGCCATTTTTCTTGTCCTATCACTCCATGCCCTTGTGAAAAGTCCCTCTCCAGCTCTCCTGGAAGCCCCCTTTARGCACTGAAGGGGCTCTAAGGTCTCCCTGAAGCCTTCTCTTCTCCAGGCTGAACAGCCCCAACTCTCTCAGCTTGAAGCAGCAACCCCTCATTTGCCATGCTGGTTGTGTTGGTTATGTATTTCAGCTTGAAGCTGAAGGATGTAGCACAAGGATTGATGATAGGATAGATATTGACAGCTTTCTCTCTTGTGTTTCAGGCTGCCAAGTGTACATCAGATGGTATCCTGCGACTAGATCTGGATATAGTAGACAATGGACCACCAACCTTTGATTCCACTGTCAGCGAAGGTGACAATGAACCACCTCAGAAAGAAACTCCAAAGCCACCTATGCCACCTACAAAACCCACTGGCACAAAAGAAAACCAAGAGGCAGAGAACAATGTTCCTGACCAGGAACATAAAAAACCTCTGTCTCCTCCGTTGCCTCCAGATAAGAAGCTTAAGGAAGGCATCACATCAAAGGACAGTGTAAATGCCAAGGAAGAGGACTCTCCAARTCCAGAGGAGAATGTGGAAGAATCCCAAGCACCAAGTGAGGAGAACAAGGAGAACCTTGCTGAGGTCAGCAACAGGGTTATATCAAAAGCTCCAATTCCACTTCCTAAGAATGTGCCGGACAAGCTGAAAGTAGCTTGGGACCARCCAACCATTGAACCTAAAAAGACAGAAGACTTGGAATCATCAGGAGATGACGGCAAAGACAACCTGCCTGAGATTGCTGCTGCAGATGTCACAAAGCCTCCTGTTCCTCCSAAGGCTTTGTCAGAGACAAAGAGACAAACACTGCTTGCCACAGGGAACTCCAGCCATGGTGACCTGGAAGCTGGGCTCTGGGAAGAGCAGGAGTCTGGCAGCTCCAAGCCCCCGGTGAATGGGATCACAGCCAGCGAGGCAGCAGAGTTCACATCCCTGACAGCTGGAACAGAAGAAGGAAATGGGAGAACCGCTGCTGAGAAGGAACAGAAAACTTCAACAGAAGAGGCAGAGACTTCCTCAGCTACAGAAACAGACTGGGAGATTGTAAAGGCAACTCTTGAGAAGAAAGATTCTACAGAAAACACTTCAGGYCTCAAACTTCGCTCTTCTTCTCTGGGAGACTTGCTCTCTGATTCCAAAAATAAACAGAGAGCACTTCCAGGCCAGGGTTTCCCGAAGGATTCCCATCAATGCTTAGCTAAAATGGAGGAGAAAGTTGCTAATGAAAGGGAAAAGGCAGAAAAGCTTCTGCAGAAAGTTTTACGTGAAGGGTTGGAACAAGCCCAGGAGGGAAACAGACCCCCAGTGATGGCAGAGACGTTGCTCAATGAGGCAGTAGAACAACTTCGGCAAGCTACACAAGTTTTGCAAGAAATCAAAGGTCTTGGAGAACTGAAAAAAGAAGCAACACAGAAACAGAAAGAAAAGCAAAAGGATCTAGTGACTCTTTATAGGAGAAGTGCTCCCTGACACACTCTGCAGAGACTTCTTTCCCAAAATCAAAGCTAAACATYTGCATTTATGATCTGTACCATTGCTAGGCCAGTGTTCAAAGGTGGTGTTTTGCTGTGCACACACCATGTCTGTGGGACAGAATTGAGCTTTCAGTTATAGCATCTTTCTTTCTTCATGTTGTACATACCAGTCTGGYTCTAATCCTCTTAGCACAGCAGAAGGTTACAGGACAGTGAACAGTTTCAAAAATGTGAATGCTCTTTTAAGGATTCTGTCCAAAATCTTTTCAATGGATCAGGCCTTAAAAAGTACTGGTAATCAGACCAAGCCAGATTTTTTGAAAGGAGCAGAATGGCTATTCTAGCAAAAGCCCCTGTCTCTCTGTATTTACAAACAAGCAAATACCAGATTACACTGGCACTTACCTGGTTTTCCCATTTAAATCATTTAAGGATCAATGTAGTCAGTGTTTGTTCGCTTACTGGCACTGTTTCCCAGACCACCTGGCCCAGTGACATCTAGGAATGTAAAGATAAATGGTTTAATCTTCTCCAAAGATACTCATAAAACCACATCCACAGTTAAAAAGTGACCGCACACAGAGACAAACCAAACGGGCCAGTTCCTGACTCCAAGCAGTCCCTGATATGGAGCAGCTGCATGAAGGCATTCTGAGGCTGGCTCTGCAGAGTTTTAGGTGTGCTAAGCACTGAGTAACTGAACACAAGTCTCAAAGCATCATTGCCAGGCAAGTATTGATTGTTCCTCCTTTGTTAATAGTGAAATTGAGGTTACATTTGGCCTGTGAAGGTGTCTGCTGCCAGCTCAACATGTTTATTGCTGAGGACCGTACCTATCTGGTAACTCTGAATTTCCTCAGCATTGTTAGGAACAAACAGCCAGGCATTTGGAGAACTTGTGTGCAGGAGATCCCCAGGTGCTTCCTAGAAGAGCTGTCACTAAGAAGCTTTGGGGATGAGTGTTTCCTTAGTGTTGTCTGGGGATGGAACTGATGGGAGCGTGCACATCAAGCAGTGGCTCTGGATGAGATCCCCCTCCCCACTGAACACCTCGCTTGGCTTTGGTAGTCATTCCCCTCTCAGGACAGCCATAGATGTCATATGAGAGTTCAGTTGTTATTCTGTCAGGTGGAGAGTTCCACATAGTCAAACACTCAGAGCTCAGGTGCCAAAAAGCTGTGCTTTGAGACAAAAAAATTCCAGTTTCCTAAGCCCACCCTGAGGCACACAGCCTGGAGCAAACCCTGGATCTGTGCTATTTGCTGCTGTAGGTTCAATGTGAACTATGGGTCATATTCACCTTTCCAGACACACTTAGGACAAGGGCTAAGAACACAGACAATATTCAGTGCCTCTCTGCTATCGAAATGTATTTTTCTGCATGTGCACTTTTGTTTACCGAACACTGTGTGGTGTGAATGTGAGCTGTCAGAACCTGGTGTGCACTGGAAGTCGAGGGACATCAGCTCCAGAGAGCAGGCAGGCTTTTGCAAGATACAGTTCCATAACAAGAGAAAAATGGGGGAAAACCCAGTTCACACTAACAGAATTATACACAAACCAGGGGAAACTCTGGGTACAGAGTTCATATCCCAAAGCTGAAGCCAGTCCTAAACTTCAGGACAGGCAAATCAAGCCTGGAATCGAAATCCAGGAGAATGACAACAGCTTATGGGGTAGCTCAGTCCCCTAATTTATATACAGATTTTGCTTTTGCTCTCCCCAGTGTTTTCTTGTGGCAGTGTGTTCTGTGGATACTCGTCTGGCAAAGCACTGCTGACAWTACCCAGACATCCCTCTTTGTTACACCCAAGCCTACAGGATGTGCTCATATTTACTGTATATTTTTATATTATGCTCAATATTCTAATGAATAAATGTCTGACATTTTACTGAATACCTGTCAGTAGGGATCCTAACAGATAAATACACTATACCTGTTAGGAAACGGGCAAATAACATCATTTTACAAGCTACAGCTAATTACTGTATATGCTGTACTAACAGATCCTACTAGATTTGTATTATGTCTTGTAAATAGGTATAACTTAAGTGAAATYTCTGTATCACCCAGTAACTTTACTGCTGCCAATGCTATTTTAGAGACTCTTGGTTTTAACTATTTTTTCTAATAGGTTTAGCAGTTTCATCCTAAAAATCCAGCCTTCTATGACAACTCCTATCTTCAACACATATCCTGCCACCATGCACTTTTTTTTTTTTTAAATCTTCCTTTAAACACACATTTAAACTTGCATCTAATTCCTGGCTGCACTAAGGCTGGGGTTTTTTGTGCCTGAAAACCCTCTGGGCTTGGAGTGCTGGGGTGTGAATGTGTTTTGGGCTGTGCCACCAGTTGACATGTCTGTGACAGGAAGGAAGTGAGTTTGCAAGTGAGCGAGTGTGGATGACGATCTGAAAAGCAGCTGCTGCAGCCCGTGGAAAGGCAGCACTTTTGTCTCCTGCTTGTAAAGAGCTTTGAGATTTGGCAATAAAASCTCCTTTTAAAAATCTGCTGTTTCAGAGCTGTTTGTCCCAAAGTGGAGCGAGGAAGCAGCACCAGCAGCAGCACATTCAGGCTTTGCTCTGGAGCAGGGAATGCTGCACAGGCTGTGGTCAGGCTGAGCTGAGCTTGCTGCTGTGCTAACCACAAGACAGGAGGAAGGAGAAGCKCTGGGGGCTGCAGCTGGCACAGAGCTGGAGCTGCTGCTGCACACAGAGCCATTCCTGCCCCATCCCTGCCTGCCAGCTGGGCTGCCCAGGCCAGAAAGCATGGCCGAGGCCAGGATCTCTGTGCAAAGCAGTGGCAAACATCACCTCACCCTCCAGCAGAGCTGCTGGGCTGCTCTTAATGCCTTCATGTGGATTTGCTGGTGTAACAGAAGATGGAGCCCACTCAGCACTTGTTCCCCGGGTGGTGAGCAACACCAGAGCCTTGTTCTTCTCAGATGCCAGGAAGCTGCAGCAAAAGAAGGAGGKAGTATCACAGTGTCTGCTTCCTTTCTGCAAAAACYGGTCASAAATTGGTCAGTAGGTTCAAAAGTKATGAGGAAGSAGGGAAAAGAGTGCAARTATAYGTGYCATCCTGTTGCACAATAAGAACATTCATTTGGGTAAAAAATTGTGGTTAGCAAACTGCCTAATCCCTTGTTGGGAAGGGTCTGTTCCTCAAAGGAATCTCCAAGACAGGGTGATTTCTACAGATWCGCTGTAAAGAAAGGCACTGGCTTCTCTCATTAAGAAAACACACAACACATCATATTTCAGGCTTAAATTTGTGTTGGTAAGGACAGGAAGTATCCAGCACTCTGTGAAACAATAAAAAATGTAAAAAAAAAATGCAGAAGAAAGCATATATCATATTAGGAAATGAATAATTTCCCTGACTTGCTCTTAAGTCAATGGATAGTCATGGGTTACCAGTTCGAAGAGACTGTCTTGTGCAACAGACTCTGAAATAGATAATTTAGGTCCTGGATTCCTTACTGAGATTCTACAGAACTCAGTAATTTGCAATTGAAAAGGAGCAGAAAGATCTCTTCCAATCCCAGGGGGCCAAAAAATTTACTACAGCCCAGGCTAGCCTACACTGATGACTAATTATTCTTGCTATTAAAAAATGTGTCTTTTATATTAAATACGAGTCATCAACAATGAAGCTCTCCAACATTTCCCCTTTCCAGTTTAAGAGTCAGAACATTCATAGACATTAAAGATACTCACAGTGTTTAGAGAGTGGAGATCACTGTTTTGTTATGCTGTGAAAATTCACACACTTCAAAAAGCCAGTGCTTAATTTATTCCGGGAAACTTAGTCACTGTGTTCTAGCACCTTACCCCCCAGCTAAGCAACCCATCACATTCTTGTGACAACCACTGGTAGGTGATGTTACAAAACATGAACAGTTCTATTCTCAGCAGCAATCCTGATGTCTGTGAGGTACTTTAGGTCATTTTCCATCCCCTCATGAGTATCAGGGACCCAAGTCCCACCAACTTCAGGGAGCAGGGTTAGTCCCCTCTGCCTGAGCTAACACATCTGGGCATCTTAGAGGTTGTAAACACAACATCAGAAGAAATGGTGAAGGTAGCCTACCTTAGTGCATCTGTACTAAAGATGATACATAAAACATACCTTCACACATATAGCAAAAAAAAAAAAAAGAAAACTGGAATATTGCAAAATGCCACTTGAAAGAAGTTATTGCAGGAGGGATGGGTATCAACAGATTATCTCATCGACTAGGTAAAGTAAAAAAAAAAAACAATTTGGCTTAATTTGCTGAAAAAAAGAAGACTTCTAATTAGAACAGTACTCCAGGCCCAGGGTGGGATGTGTTCTAGAACGGGACCCCCAGAGGGACCTCCATCACTGGGAATTTTTAAGAGCAGATGTGCAAGGAAGGTGGATGTATCTCACCTTCTTGTGCACAAAAAGGCAGATTAAACTGTGGCCTTCTCAGCCATGTGGTTTCCATAGGACACTGAAGTGTCACACCTCCACAGCCTGGCCTGCTCTCCTCTTCTTCTGCTCCACATTTCAGTTCTCCTTTCTCCCCACTTTCCCATCTCATGCCCCTTCTCTGCCAGAACAACTGATCTCTAGAAAGCTCAATGCTGTGTTGATAAGTTTTAGTTTCCCTAAGTTTAGTTGTGCTGCTGCCAAGAAAATCCTTACTCCCACCTTCACTGGATTCACAATSCACTTTTTACATCCCTGCATCTACAATCCCTGTGTTTGTATTTCCTATTTCTACCCCACCACACCCATGAAGGGTAAGTTTGTGTTTTGGAACATGGGCGTTCTTCAAAGACAGGAAATGAATTTTAAAATTATTAGCTCAAAATAAATGAATTAAAAGAAGAAAAATATTCAAAACTATAACTACCTCTATTGGTGGTTCTTTTATAATGTCTTCCAGTACAAAGACCTAAAGGTTTTTTGTGGCCATGAATTAATTTTGCCTTGTGGTACAACCAGAAGAGATGACAGAGCTTCTCACCCTGCAGAATGAAGGCAAAGGCACAGAGTATTGAAGAGGTGGGCTCCACCCCATTCTCCTGCAGCAAACACTTTTATTTTTAGTTTGTGATCTAGTGACATTTTGCAATAAACATTAAATAACCAGAAAAAAAAAAAAAAAAAAAAAGAACCAAAAAAACACACACACAAAAAAAAACCCAAACCAAAAAGCGAGTTCTGAGAATTTGTCCGTTGATGATTTTTCTAACCCATAGCACGGATTGGAACGGACCTCCAAATCCTATTTGTTTTAAGCAAAATGGCCATTAAAAAACTTGTATTCCCAGCCCATAAGTGGATAAGACATACTATGAAAATACTGTATATATCTGTTATATCTATGATTTTGTAGATTTAAAACAAGAATTAAGAACTTGAAGGATTTTGGAGACATTCTGGGGGAAAAGACAAAGTCATTTGGAGCAGAGACTATCAGGAGAATAGGTCAGAGGCAGGAAGAGGGCAAGATATGGGAATGCAATGCCAAGTACTGGCTGTCATTTATGGATATGACATTTATGCAATGCAAACAGATTCAAACTCTCCTTCCCCACAGAACTACACAGCAGGGCATATGCAGAAATCAGGATATTTGAATGCTGATTGCTGACTTTCCGTTACCCTTTATTGAAACATTTAATTCCCTCTTGGTCTCTAAATAGTTTCAGATGCTTGTGAAGGTCTTAACTATATTAACATTTTTCCCTTCCCTTTCCACAAAAAACTCTAATTTTGGAGGAAAGATTTTTCCTYCTAGAGAAACGTGCCTTGCACAGAAATAAATGTTTCTTAGAGGACAAATGCTAATCAGTTTAAGACACAAGTTCTGCAGCCCACCACAATACACCGGGATATTTATCACTGAARCTGATAAAAGATGAGAAGATCTCCAAAAGTCCAACAGATATGCAAGCCGGCATGACTAAGTGGGCAAGGATTTGTGCAAACAAAACTGCAAGTTCCTCTGCTATTTCATCTGCAACAAGAAGTGAGTTTTGAAATACTGGCAAAATCTTCTGGGTTTGTTTAGACCACATCACTATGACAGCAMAGCACTGCCCCGTTCTTCATGCATTGTACAGCTTTGCAAGAGACAGTGGTGAGGGGGAAATGAGACTCAAAAGAAAAAACACAACCAGATGTCATAGGGGAGATCACAGGAGATACCCCAGCCCATGGATAACCTTCCTGTGCAAGCACAGAGACTCTGATGGACTCATCTGCTGAAGAAATGCTGAATTTTCAACAGCATGGGTTGCATTTCCTGAGCAAGGCAAATCCATACCACTTGTTTTCCATGGCCAAGAGCTGATGAACTTGTGAAAGGTCACCAATGCGAACAATAATCATGCATTCACAGGGCAGCACTGCTCTCAGCTTAAACACACTTGGGCTGTACTATCCAGGTGCTTTCAAAACCACTCACCTTCAAGGGTGGAATCAGGGCCTCATTGGAGTTTCTGGCGAGAAATTTTCTGGGAAAACGTTTTCAGGTCAAAACAGGCTGTTAACAGAGGCTGTTAACAGAGGACTGCAGATAGGGAAAGGTGTGCTAGTTTAAAAAAACTATACAAAAATAATTTAGAGAAGTTGACATTTCAAAAGGAGACAATTTTGCTCTTCAGCTCAGAAACAGAATTTCAACACTTTATCTGATTATATTTTTTTAAGTAACTAACCCAAATTTTTTAAAAAAATTAAAAATATGGAATTACCTATTTTGATGGAGCTCATGCGATTGCTTCTTGTTTGCTTACAAAAGTTTTAAATTTTTAAAAATGTTTTTCCTTGTTCTAGATAAAGAGAAGAAACTTTAAACCCTTGGGAAAGCTGAAAAGATGTGAAAGCTCTTTTAGTGTGATCTAGGCAGTCAAAGCAGGATTCCTGACAATTCATTCAAAATGAGGCACAGGGTTCCAGTCTGGCTCCCCTGCTCCTCGAAGGGGCAATGTTTTATTCTCAGATTATCCAGTCAGGCTATGAGCTGTGGTCCATTTATTTTGGCTCAAGACAACGGTAGCTGCACAGGTACAGGGTTGTTTTTTGGTTTTTTATTTTTTAAATGAGAGAAAATGCCTACAAAATCCCAGTAAATTTGCAGACATCAAAAGAAGTCCCTAGAATGTCTGTAAGGAGTCTGGTCTCATTTCTGTGATAAGTTTGCATTCAAGAGTGTCATGTTCTTCCAGTAAGCTGC